TCATTTGTTTAGATAAACAAACGTTTAATTAAATTCATGCTTATCGCCTTTGAACGACACAACGCTCCGGTTTCTGTAATTTAATATTAAAAGCGAAGAGAGGGGAAAAAAGTATGTCCTTATTCCACGTGACTGAATTGCATTTGACAATTCGGGTCCTCCTGTGCGTCCCATCATTTTACAGGGGAAATAATATAAATAATAATAATTTGAATAATAATAATAATTTTTCTCTTTCACGATTCGCTGCAAAATTCTTGAAAAAAAAAAAAAATTTTATCCCGCTTGAATGAACATATTTCGGGTTAATATTATATCATATTAATATCTCTCTAACAAGATCTAATCCGTATTACGTCCTATTAATTTCAGCCTGTTATTGACAAATGCTCTGTCGAGATATTTGTTCACTCGGTTATTTACCAAGCCAGCAATCCGCCATGAAAACCGAAACCAATCGTGATTAGTGCGTGCAGCATGGCCGCAATGATTGCGAAAGGACGTTACGTGGAATTAATAAACGTTCGATCGATGCATTTGTTTAAACACTAGCTTACTCATCCGTGCAAAATCTCGTTATCCACATCCCGATGGAATTCTTGCGCACATTGCGCATTAACGTTTCCGGATGTCAATGTGTAACTTTTGAAAATGGGACTTTATGATTGTTTACGGTTTCTACTCCCCCGAAATAGTCCCCGACCGCAAAAAATCCGAACGATATTTCTAACTTTTCTCTTTTTCTCTTTCTCTCTCTCTTCTTTATTGAAAATAAAAATTGCGGATGAAAATATAAAAAGTTCGTTCCTTCGTAAATTAAAATTGGCAAAAGTTTCGAATTGTCCCCGTTTTTTTTTATCCCTCGACAAATTTCACGTAGACGCGATCCATTTCAACGAATTTGACGTTGAGAAACATTTTCCATCACGCGAGAATATAACGTACAGAGGAGACACCTCGGTCGGAAATATCGCCCGAGGTATCGTCATTCGAAGAAGGAATTCCTCTAACTTTGAATACAGAGCGATGCACACATCTATCGATGAAATTTCGTTTTTTTCCTCTTTTTCTATGCAACTCGGAGAGGAGAAAGATACCACCTCGTACTCGAGATCCCGCGCGTCTTCCCGAAGCTACCATTTCGAAGATCGCAACAGCTGATGAGTTTCAACGATTCGTCATGTCAGCCACGGATTACGCGAATATTCCCGGAACAGAGAGCGCGACGAATAATTAGATGTTGAAAGCTCAAATTTGCGCTCATCTGTACACGGTTGAGCGGCGCGTTCGTGATTAGCATCGATGCGACATGTCGCATCGGCGATGATTGCAAAACGAATCGCCAGGTGGATGAAACGATTTCGCGAGCCATGCACGTAACGAGCGTCGCAATGATGACATCGCGCGTCCGGACGTGTAATAGTCTTAATTAAAATAGCGGTCTAACGAACATCGCTAACCGCTGTAATCCGACGTGCTTCATTGATAATCCCACGATCTCGTATACGGGCGCAAAAGTAAACGCACCCCGTGTATTGTATAAGCGTGTGAGTAAATTTTTGATTCATTTGACTGATACCGAAGATATTGTACAAGTCTCGAGACAAGATAATGGAATATTGTATTAATATTGAAAATTTTCGAAAGCTTAAATCTGAATATCAAGTGAATCTTTGTAGCAAAAGTATCTGTCTCGATTTTATTACATAACAATTTTTATTCGATACTGAATTGTGTTTAAAATACAATATTTAATATCTTATTGTAAGCGATAAGAGTTAGTTTTAGATAAAAATAATTTAAATATTTTATTAATAAAATATTTAATATTTAATTTTTGGAACATAATTTAAGATAAAATTATATATTCCTTTAATATAAATTAAAATTGTTAAGATTATTGGTCTGGACTCGAGACAAGATAATAGAATATGCATTAATATTGAAAATTTTTGGAGCTTGAATCTGGATATCAAACGAATCTTCGTAGTAAAAATATTGCTTTGTATCTTGTCTCGATTTTATTAACAATTTTTATCGGATTCTAAACAATTGTGTTTAGAATAAAATATTTAATATTTTATTGTAAACAATTATAAAAGACATTTTTAGATAAAAATAATTTAAATATTTTATTAATAAAATATTTAATATTTAATTTTTGTAACATAATTTAAGATAAAATTATATATTCCTCTAAATAAATTAAAATTGTTAAGATTATTGGTCTGGACTCGAGACAAGATAGTAGAAGATTGTATTAATATTGAAAATTTTTGGAGCTTGAATCTGAGTGTCAAGTGAATCTTTGTAGCAAAAATATCTTGTCTCAATTTTATTAACAATTTTTATCCGATACTGAACAATTGTGTTTAAAATAAAATATTTAATATTTTATTGTAAGCAATTATAAAAATCAGTATTACATAAATATAATTTAAATATTTTATTAATAAAATATTTGAACGTAATTGTTTAGTATCAGATAAAAATTGTTAATAAAATCGAGACAAGATACATACAAAACGATATTTTTGCTACAAATTTACTTGACATCCAGGTACAAGCTTTTAAAAATTGTTAATAAAATATTTAATAAAATGACAAAAGCAATATACAGTCCGGATAACAATACGCAATAAAAAGTAAAAGGCTAAAAGACCATGGCGCAAGATGTTAGAGCGTAAAAAAATTAAAAGTAATAATAAAAAAATTCTAATTAATAAAAATATTAATAAAAAACATACATATGTATTTTTTATATCTAACTGATTATTAACATATTATGTCTCTTATTTAGAGTCTTTTTATTATTTCTTTTAATTTTTTTACGCTCTAACATCTTGCGCCACGGTCTTTTAGCCTTATATATTCCCCAATATATATATTAAAATTGTTAAGATTATTGGTTTTTAAATAAAGTTAAATATCTATATTTACAAATTAAATGAGAAAAAATCACACTTGTCAATAATTTAAAAAATTGTATTCAATTAAGATTATTTATATTAACGAATTTAAAAACATTTAATAATAACTGTTAATCAATATTAATTGTACCATATTTTAACTTGTTTAAAAAATCAGTAATCTTGCAAATTTTAATCTTGATATTATTTCAATCAATTAAAAATTAAAAAGACAATTAAAAATCTCGAAATTCAAGACAAGAACATTATTGAGGTTAATCTTGGTATCTCGTGCAACCCTAGTCGCGCTCCATCGGGAGTGGCTCGTCACGCGGCGCCGCTTCCTCTCGTACGCGACATGGGTGAATTTTTCACGCTTAATTTCCTGTGTGCAAGCCGCGTGCACGACACAGGATGGCCTCACACACCGACCACCGGCGTGAAATCGACGAGACGTACGTGCTACAACGAGGCTGTATGACGGGGTTGTAGCGCCCATTGGTGGCGGCCACGATACGTGGCCCGTTTCGCTCGCAAGCACGTTTCCGCTCTCTCACGTACCGTAGTCGATACGTCGGATCGTCGCGCGGTACGTGAATCGTCGTGTTAATGACCGCAATAGCGGATTGTTAGGCCATTTTGGTCCATAAGCGGACGAGCACTGACGAGAATTAAGGCTATTTACATGAACGGAATGAAGCGAATATTAAGATATTCCAGAAAGAACCAATATACAGTAAACGTTATGATAAAATAACCTACCGAGGTCTTTGAGATTGTATAGAATATTCCAGGATCATCTTTTCTTTTAAGAAAAGATTCTTTGTTTAATTTCGATTTTTTTCTTATCGAAAATGTCGATATTCTTAATTTCCGGTTTGTATAAGCAATTGAAAAAGCCTTTCGTAAATTAAATTATATGTATGGAATTTAAATATAATTAATAAAATTATATTTTCCTCATTACTTCAGGTTAAAGCTACTTGAAGGTTAGGTTACAGTTTACTTGAAACAATTTTAATTTAAGACTTAATCACAAAGAGACATGACGGGAAAAATTAAAAGAATGATGACTTTCCTAAATGTTTTCGTAAAAAAAAATTGACTAAAAAATCTGTCACTAAAAGAACATTGGATGGTTTCGAGACACCCTATCGAAAATGTCGACATTCTTAATTTCCGGCTTGTATAAGCAATTAAAAAAGCCTTTCGTAAATTAAATTATATGTATGGAATTTAAATATAATTAATAAAATTATATTTTCCTCATTAACTTCAGGTTAAAGCTACTTGAAGGTTAGGTTACAGTTTACTTGAAACAATTTTAATTTAAGACTTCATCACAAAGAGACATGACGAGAAAAATTAAAAGAATGATGACTTTCCTAAATGTTTTCGTTAAAAAAAAATTGACTAAAAAATCTGTCACTAAAAGTACATTGGATGGTTTCGAGACACCCTATCGAAAATGTCGACATTCTTAATTTCCGGCTTGTATAAGCAATTGAAAAAGCCTTTCGTAAATTAAATTATATGTATGGAATTTAAATATAATTAATAAAATTATATTTTCCTCATTAACTTCAAGTTAAAGCTACTTGAAGGTTAGGTTACAGTTTACTTGAAACAATTTTAATTTAAGACTTCATCACAAAGAGACATGACGAGAAAAATTAAAAGAATGATGACTTTCCTAAATGTTTTCGTTAAAAAAAAATGACTAAAAAATCTGTCTGTAAAAAAACATTGGATGGTTTCGAGACACCCTATATATATAATAGTTAGCTAACTGTCGTTACAATTTTGTACGCTAATCTTCATCAATCATAAAGAGACATATTACGCGAACGATAATGTATGAAACAAGTTGAAAGCTGTTCCTCAAAATAATGTACATGCAATGAAGAAGTTTTACTTCAGCTTTTTTATCTTAAGTATAAAAGTTTTAAGTGTAAAGATAATATCCGAGAAAGCGTCGCGCGCGCGGGCTAATCCAAGAGACTGTTATAAAAGAAGAACGTGAGGAAGGAGAGAGGAACGGCCATACGTTCCCGTGTAAAATTGTAAATATTGTAAAGGGCTCCGTCTTACCTTGTCGCGATGAGGGGACAGGTGATGCTCGGCGAGGCCCAAGCCTCCGGACTCCAAGGTGCGCATTCGTACAGTCTGAGTTCTCGACCTGAAACTGCGCCGAAGACGCTGCGCCATCCACCGGTGCAGCCACCGGCAAGACCGAAGCCACTTCCGGCTCCTCGCGAGGTGCTCGCGCTACTTCCGGCCCCGTCCTCGCTGCTCTCGCTACTGGCCCGTCCGTTCTGCAATCACGCGGCAATAATAAATATTCAATTTGCAATCTTTGTGACGAGGAAGAAAAATGCGTAAATACACCGCAGACTTTATCCAGAGAGAAAGAGAGAGAGGGAGGGAAATTCTTTTCTCGAGAAAGTATTCGAGGAATCAAGAATCTGAAAATTTAATCCTTGCGAATCTCCCCGAGATCTCCTCGAAATTTAAAGGCACTTTTTGAATTGAATTTTGCTATAAAATTGACTACAAAAGGAAAAAAATGAGGACGAAAATATATAATATTGTATATTAATATTTCTCATATTTGAGAAAATTTCGAAAAATTGAAATAAATTGAAAAAAATTGAAATAAATTTAATCATGAATCAAGAAATAGATTTAATCAAGAATCTGAAAGTTTAATCCTTGCGAATCTCTCCGAGATCTCCTCGAAATTTGAAGGCACTTTTTAAATTAAATTTTGCTACACAATTAATTACAAATTGACTACAAAAGGAAAAAAATAAGGATGAAAATATATAATATTGTATATTAATATTATTTGATTCCCATATTTGAGGAAATTTCGAAAAATTGAAATAAATTTTAAAAAAATTGAAATAAATTTAATCATTACGGATCTCTTCAAAATTTGAAAGTCCTTTTCTCTGTGATTCCCATATTTAAATCATTATATTGTATCGAAAAGAAATTTTGAAAAATCAAAGTAAATATATTATTATGGAAATTTGGTAGCCTTTTTTTTAATTGGACATAATTGCAAAGCGAACAAAATAAAAACACAAGTGTATAATAACGACTATTAATCATCTGATTCCTATTTAAATTATTATTATTTATTGTAATGAAAAAGTTTTGAAAAATCGAGATAAATTTAATCATTACAGATCTCTTCGAAATTTGAAGGCTCTTTTTGCAATTAAATGCGATTACAAAAGAATAAAATAAGAACAAACATATATAACATTATGTATTAAAATTATTTCATTCTCAGAAAAGAAATTTCGAAAAATCGAAATAAAATAAAGGGAAGAGTAGAAAGTTGGAAAATTGTCGAGAAAGATGGCAGTCGCGCTTGATCGATCATTTCTCCGTTTTATATTTAAGCGAAACGTGACGCTCGGTTATAATTATATTATTGTTCAGCGCCTTGACATTTACCTTGTTTGTGTCTTGACATACACAAGAAAAAACTTGACATTTTTCCGTTTTAGATAATGACATTATTAAATTAAAGAAAAAAGAAATTTCACTCCGAAAGGAATAAAGATAAGGGAGTAAAAAGAATGGCTTTATGCATAAATTATGATAGAAAAATTAATGGCGAGGAAGGAGGGATGAGATTTTTATAATAACGCGGCGCGCCCACCTCTTTGCACTATTTTTTTTTTTCTAACAAGCTACTCTACATATTTCCCAAGTTTCATTGAAATCAAAACTTCCCAGTTTGTTCCCTTGTTAGTAGGATCGCAATCCCGTTCAAGTCGCAGAGGAGCAACCTAAGAAGAACACATTAATCTTAAACGACTTCCTGCCCCTTTCTCTTGGCAAAAGAAGGATCAAACTTCGTCTACTCGGCCTCCCTAAAGCTCCGCGGAAAAGTTCGCGTAAGTAGCGGCGTAAGGAGATACATCCCGTGTACAAGGAAAGACCGGAAGTTCTGACGAAGTCGGCTCTCAGCCGACGAACGACATCAGATCGGAAAGTTTATCCGGCAGATTAAAAAACTCTACGCGACGGCCGTCAAGCTAGCTCAACGTATATTTTATATGGAAAATGTCGTTCGCCAAGCGCGCACTTGTTTTTATCAAATCAGCATCTTAATATACGAGAGAGAGAGAGAGAGAGGGGGGGGGGAGAGCTGCCAGAAGAAAAATAAAAGTGTCAAGCTTTCAACTAACATAAGATAAGCGCTTCTCGGCAAAGTTCTATCCCGAAAATATGAAAATTATAGAAAATCCGAAGAAAATGGAGACAGCGTCTGGATAATTAAAAAAAAGGGGGCAAAGTTTCAGGAATTTAACGTGCCAGGATCGGGGGAGAATCGTCGCCTGTTCCTTTTTCCTTCGGTCCGTCCCGATGCTCCGCAGACATCACAATCGTCCGTTGGCGTCTTATCGCGCCGATTTTCTTCCGTGTCGCGGCAACCGTGAAATCGAGCGAAAGGAGCGAGGAAAGAGAAAGAAGGAGAAAGAAAAAGAGAGAGAAGGAAAGAGAGGGGGGAAGGAGAGACGTCGCGCAATCTACGAGGAAGGGTACCAATGTGGAATCAGGCGAAAAGAGAGAAATATTAAACGAGAGCGAGAATGTCTAACCGGAGGAGGGAAAGATCGATCGACTCGCGGGGTTGGAAAAGTTCGAAGGGCGCGAACGAAGTCGTCGGGGGAGAAGGAGGGGAGCTATCAAAGAGGAGAGGGTAGGAAGGGCGACGCTTCCCTCCGTCCTCTTTCATTCCGCGGACGCGATGTTTCGCATCGGGTCGACAATAAAAAGGACACCCGCGACAAAATTATCGGCCAGCTGATCAGCCTTTTGTCCCGGAATAAAAAAAGCCAACATCGAATTAAGATAGATCCCGACTGCCTTCAGCTACTCGAATCTCCCTTGCAATATTTCCGGATCCAATCGCACGCAGACAGTTCCGTGATTGCGTGCAGAGGGGGTGAGATCGGTATTCGTGCTTTTTGTGCTTCGAATGTAAAGGGAGACTGTAGCGTGCGATGGAATTTTTACGGGCGCCAAAACAAAGGAAAGCGAGGGCAAAAAGTGCGGCTAAACAGGATCTAACCGGACAATATAACGAATCGAACCTAACCTCTCATCTGGTCGCTCGCGTCCCGAAGCGAGCGATAACCCCGATGATGTACGAGTTTTTGCAACCCCCCCCCCCTGCGTTTTTCACGCGTGCGATAGCCCGCTCTCGTAGTTTCTTCTCGCGTTTCGCCGAAGCCGAAATGCAGGATGCATGGCATCCTAAGCCTAGTATCGCCCGCGCCGATCTTCCGAAGTTCGTTCCCCCTTTCTTCTTTTTTTTTGACTCCCATATATACAGGGTGTCACTTAATTGGCGCCCACTATTTATATAGCGATATTCCTCGCGGAAAACTGAGTCGAAAAGTCCTGAACCATTTCGTTCTACAATGCTTAATAAAGCGGTAATTATTGAGTAAAGTTGCGCCAATAAGCACGGACCTTTAGCCTCCCTGACGAAATTTCCTTTAAGGAAACGCTTTTAACGGAAGAAATATGATTTCTAATGCAAGATAAAGTTTCTCGCATTACAGAAGAAAGAATTGTTTCAAAAAAAAAAAATAGCTCAGGACTTTTCGACTCAGTTTTCCACGAGGAATATCGCTATATAAATAGTGGGCGCTAATTAAGTGACACCCTGTATACACACACTCTCTCTCTCTCTTTCCCTCTCTTTCTCCTCAGTCGAATAACTGTCCCTCGGTTTATCGCGACAGTGTGTCTCCCTTTTTTCGTTGCAACTTGATGACCTCCCCTCCCCCTCGCGCCACCCCCCCCCTATGGCACTCCACGTTTCCGGGGGTGGTATCGAACGCCGTATCCTTCCGAGGCAACCGTAATACAAGTGTAATCGCGGCGATATTTTCGCGATCCATTAATCCCACCTGTACATTCATCGGGAAGCCAAGGATTAAAACAAGATTAAACGCGGAATATCTCTATCCGCTCTCGCGCGCGCGCGCGCGCGCGGCTGTATAAGAGAGCTTTAGACGGAGGAGGATCTCGCGCGATCGCATCCTAAATCATCCCGACTAATTTCGCGTAATCTTTATACCGGCAATAAAATAATAATTCTCTCCCCCCCGCGCCCCATCCCGTATAAGCGCGCGAGCAACGTGGGGGAAGAGGGGGTGGGAGGGGAAGCGACGAATTAATAACGAACCTAGGTACATTCTCGCGATAGCGGTAGCCCTTTCTGCGTAGAAAATACTCTGCAAACAGTAGCTCTTGCTTCGGTTAAGATTACAATAAAATACGGGAAGATCTTAATCAAGGCTCGTGGCCGATTTTAGCCCGGGAAATCCCCCCCGGCCAGTCAATGTTTGTCTTGGCGAAAATTCGAGATGTCGGAATTATTTATGATAAATCGCGGGAAAGAAGTCGACCGAAATTTTCCCTTATAACGTTCACGCGAGACTGGTAATGTCAGAAGCCGCAAATGCTATTATTGCGAGCGCATCGAACATATTTAGTGGTATTAAACACGTGAATTAGCGTACATGCCTGCAATGATGCGCTCTTGCATTATAAAGCGGATCTGAGAGCTTCTAACGGTGATATATCACCATTAGAATTTCAGAGGCGTAACACACGTCGTGGTTTCAACTAATCGGACAACCGGCGATCGCGTATACGAGAATCCTAATTGGAAACAAGTTAATCTCTTATATCACGCTCTTATCTAATCTCTCTTCTACCCTACAATTATAATTTAAGCCAGAGTATTAGAGGGTTTCTCGATTTTTGTACTTTGCCAAATTGGACTTTTACGTTTCAATGGAATTTACTACAGAACTTAAAAATTTTGACCTCGAGGAGACTTTATACAAGTGTAAAGGGAGTGAGTAGATGAATTTTGAAATTTTCAGTTATCCTTTTCTCGATATATTTCGAAAATTATTCGAGATATCAGAAAATTTTGGAGAAATAATTTTTGAAAACAATTGTTTTAAAAATTATCTTAATATAATTAAATACAGAGATATTCTTAGCACATGAAATTTTTGTATCCAATATTTTTTAATATCTAGAATAATTTTTAAACATAAAGAAAAGCTATTTTACATATAGAGGGAGTAAATAGACGAATTTTGAAATTTTCAGTTATCCTTTTCTCTCGATATATTTCGAAAATTATTCGAGATATCAAAAAAATGACAAATTTCGTAAAAACACTATATTTTTAAAATTTTGAAGAAATAATTTTTGAAAACAATTTTTTCAAGAATTTTTGAAAACAATTTGTCCAAAAATTTTT